AATCAGATCCGAGGACTGGTTTGTCACGATAGACCTAGAAAAAGACCTTGAAAAAGAGCGTGTTGACACCAGCCCAGAGAACTACGTTCCTGGGAGTGGTGTGGGACTCGGTCACGATGCGGGCACAATTGTCTCCCGCGCGGATCGAGTCCATCCTGACCACAGTGTCCAGGATAAGGCTAGGCCAAGCCATCACTGTGAAGCACTTCCAGAGAGTGTTGGGGCTCATTGCAGCAGCGTCCAGTGTCATTCCATTCGGCCTGCTGCACATGAGGGCCCTTCAGTGGTGGTTAAAAACCAAGGGGTTCTCCCAGAGGGGAAACCCGTTCCGCATGATCAGGGTTACGCGCAGATGCCTTCGTTCCCTATCTATGTGGAAGAAAGCTTGGTTTCTGTCCCAAGGGCCAGTGTTGGGAGCGTCATGTCGCCGGAGAACCGTTTCGACAGACGCCTCCCTCACGGGCTGGGGCGCGGTAATGGACGGCCGCTTTACGACAGGCCTATGGCAGGACCATCATGCCTCCTGGCACATAAACTGCCTGGAGATGTTGGCGGTGTTCCGAGCTCTGAGGAGCTTCCTGCCGGACCTCAAAGGTCATCATGTCCTTGTGAGGTCAGACAATATGTCGGTAGTGGCCTATATAAACCATCAGGGGGGTCTGAGGTCTCGCCCTCTATGCAGACTGGCGCATCAGATCCTCCTGTGGTCCCAGGGGAAGTTGTTGTCTCTAAAAGCAACATTCATCCCGGGGAGTCAAAATCAGGGAGCAGACATCCTGTCGAGACAGGGGCTGAGGCCCGGGGAGTGGAGACTCCACCCCGAGGTGGTGGAGTCAATATCTCAGAGGTTCGGCCCAGTGGAAGTGGACTTGTTCGCGTCTCGAGAGACGACCCACTGTCCATTGTGGTTTTCCCTCACCCATCCAGCCCCGCTGGGGTTGGATGCCATGGTGCAGACGTGGCCGAGGCTACGTCTGTACGCATTTCCCCCGATCGCTCTGCTCCCGGGAGTTCTAGAGAGAGTCCGTCGCGACGGGATCAGTCTACTGTTGGTAGCCCCGTTGTGGCCGGCCCGAGTATGGTTCTCCGACATAATTTTGCTCCTGGACGGCCCTCCATGGGAGATTCCCATCAGGAGGGACCTGCTGACACAGGCAGAGGGCTCAATATTTCACCCTCGCCCGAGTTATGGAAACTGTGGGTCTGGCCCCTGAGGGGGCACAGTACCTAGAGGCCGGCCTATCAGCTGGAGTAGTGGAGACCATACTCAGCTCTAGAGCTCCATCCACGAGGAAATTGTACGGCCTAAAGTGGAACGTCTTCACCGTTTGGTGTAGGGAGCGTGAGGTGGACCCAGTTAACTGCCCAGTGGCTTCAGTGCTGGAGTTCCTCCAAGATCGCTTTTCCACTGGTCTTACCCTGTCCACACTCAAGGTGTACGTGGCTGCCATTGCGGCTTTCCACGCTCCTCTGAGTGATGGGCCTCTGGGGAGACACCAATTGGTCGTACGTTTCCTCCGTGGGGCTTGGAGGATGAGACCTGCGGCTCGTACCAGGGTTCCCACTTGGGACCTGGCAGTGGTTCTCGAAGGGCTGGCCGAGGCCCCCTTCGAGCCGCTGGAGTCGGCTGAGGCCAAGAACCTTTCGTTAAAGGTGGTCTTTTTGTTGGCCATTACTTCTCTGAGGAGGGTAGGAGATCTCCAGGCGCTCTCCATATCTAACGAGTGCCTGGAGTTTGCTCCAGGCAACATTAAGGCCATTCTTCACCCTAGGCCCGGCTATTTGCCTAAGGTGCCGTCCAGTGCGGCACGGCCTACGGTTCTGCAGGCTTTTCATCCTCCACCTCACGTGACGGCGAATGAAGAGAGACTTCACATGCTCTGCCCTGTCAGAGCACTGAGTATTTACATTCAGAGGTCCTCTTCATGGCGGAAGTCGGACCAGTTGCTGGTGTGTTTCGGGTCGCCCAGAAAGGGGCTTCCCGCCTCAAAGCAGACCATCAGCAACTGGATTGTCCAAGCGATTTCCACGGCCTATCAGGTGCGCGGTATGCCTTCACCTTTGGCCGTGAGGGCTCATTCTACCAGAGGCATTGCGTCCTCTAGAGCCCTTCTCGCGGGGGCCCCCATCCAGGAGGTCTGCGATGCAGCAGGATGGGCTACCCCTCATACCTTTATTAGGTTTTATAGTTTGGACATTCCGTCTACACCCGGCTCTCTTGTGCTCGCGTCCTAAGTGTGCCTGTGAGCAGCTTCACACTAGGGCAGACAGGGCGCGTTGTGGCGTAGTGGGTACTCGTTCCCCCAAAGTGTCATTCGACGCAGTTGGAGTTCCCTCGAAAGGGAACGTCCTCGAGTTACGACTGTAACCCTTGTTCTCTGAGAAGGGAACGAGAACTGCGTCCCTTGGCCACGCCTTCCCCTGCCTGGGAGCGCTTGCTTCATCACAGAAGCTGACATCTTATGTGTGCCGGCTGCTTTTATAGCTTCCGCCTATCTGCCGTCACACATTACGTCATGACGTTGCACCAATCAGAGATCGGCTCAGTTTCATTCATACTTCAGAGGCGCTACGCTGAGGGGCGTTCCCCCAAAGTGTCATTCGACGCAGTTCTCGTTCCCTTCTCAGGGAACAAGGGTTACAGTCGTAACCCGAGGACGTTTTTGCTGGTGTCTTTTGTGATGGAGAACTGGCCCTGTAGAGACTGAGCATAATATGCACTTGAGCCAGTGTCTATATATCCAATCCACTCCAGTCCTCTCCCTGGTTTCTGACGGATCCAGGTCATGTAGTAGCTGCTCATTGAGAATCCAGAGACACTGCAGGACAGAGTCACTGATTCTCCTGGTCTTTTCACCACAGAATCTGAGGAGCTCAAAGACTGACCATTAACACCTGAAAAACAGAAGAAAATCATTTTAGATGATTTAGAACAATGAAATCATAATCTACTACAACAGGGAGTTTCTCACATGCAATAACCATCAGTAGGAGTCCATATAGCATCTCCACAACAGAAAAAGGCAGTAAAACAGTTATAGGTTTCACTGAAGCTGTTTTAGCCACTGAACACATTCACTGACTGAAAGTTCAGCTTATAACACAATCTTACAGGCGTCTGGGAGACGTTGACCCTTCCCACAAAATTATTTGCATCTTTGGAGGTTTGCAGACTTACACTGCAGTTTAATGCAGTAATCTGCAAATTATCACATAGACAAAGGAAAAAAATCTTGACCAACATTTGATAAGTGAGAAAAGATATATTACTTTATCAGTGTACACCTTTGTTCCGTAATTTATTTATGGTGTTATTTATTATTGAGTCAATGTTTCAGAGATGCAACCAGAGCACCAGAGCATACGGTGGAAAAATGCATATTTGGAAATTCACCAGCACTGCCCAGTGACGGGCCATTATTTTAGATGTCTAATTTCTAAACTAATTTATAGTTTAGAATGAATATTTGTTTTTTTAGTATATTGTTGTTGTTCCCTCTCCTTTCCGGATTAGTGTGTCAGTTTTGGGCATAAGTCAGTTTCAAGAACTGGTTGTGATTCCACATGTATCTGCCTTGTAAGCCGGATTTGGAGGATGTATTTAAAAGACCCCCTTTGGTGAAAATCAAGTTTTCAAATGTTGTTGTCTGTGTTTTTTTTATGTGCTTTAAGACAAACCATGTGCAAATTCATGTCAACACCATTGCTGAGTATTTTCTCCTTAAAACTGCAGTGAACTAGCCTGGATGCCAGCCCGAACCCCGCCCACAACATTTTTTGATCGGGAAGTTCGGTCTGGACTCGCTCCATTGAGGAGTAATTATGATCGGTTCAGAAATCGTCGGGCCAATCAAATTGCCAGGGCGGGCTTTATACGATGATGGACAGATGATCTGCAGGGACGTAATCCTCACGTTATCAAAGAGCGCTTGGGTTGAACTGGTTTCCCTCAGAGATGACTGCCGCTGGAGAACTGAGATGTAGAGATTCCGCTATCGCGTCCGTTGTAAAAGAAATCGACAGCGCATTCATTTTAAAAGACGAACATAGAACTGCAATCAAGGCATTTGTCGATCGGAAAGATGTGTTTGCCGTCCTTCCTATGGGATTCGGCAAAAGTTTAATTTATCAGCTGGCTCCGATGGTAACTAAGAAGATGGGACGTAATGAAAACCCTGTGGTCGTTGTGGTTTCTCCTTTGGTCGCACTCATAGAGGGCCAAGTAAAAGAAGCAACACTCGTTATTTTACTTCTTCCAGCGTGCGTGCATTTGAGTTCTGTAGTTGACAACTGTGCTATGCAAAGTAGTTGACTTACTGCGTTGCTCTCATTGGTTGTAGGTCTATCCAATTGAGTGCAGAGTTTTTTTTTTTTCCTGGTTCGGTTAAGACACGCCTCATAATCAAAGCCCTATGAAGCAGTATCAGACTCACATTCTGACTAGAATATGAGTATGACGAAGTCAGGCTAGCAGTGAACCAAAGACATTCTCAAAAACACGGTTTGTAGAGAGCGATACATAAAACGCATTACCATTCTGATACACCGACTTGTAGACGACATGATTCACTCTTTCACTTCTTCTTCTGAATCAGTTTCTGGTTCAAACGTATATGACTGAATTAAACCAGTACTTCCACTTGCCATTGTACAGCGTTTAAGTTGACTGAGTGGATCTCTGAGCTGGTGTGAGTGATTTTGAGGCGGGATTAATTTGCATGTTGCAAGTTGATTTTTTTTTTTTTTTTAGTTATATCTTAATCTTTTTTTAAGCCCATGTAATAGTTGAATTAATGAAGTTATGTGGTAGAAAAAACCATCCAGTCCATTATTAATATAAGGGAATGTATGCTGAACAGAGATACTTATACTTACATACTAAGACACACTGTGGGAAACAGACGTCATTATGATTAAAAATAAGGAATCATTTTAATATTAACATGTTTTTGTATTTAATACATTCAAAACACTTCAGACAGGCCTTATGTCACTTCAGAGACTCTTCCCTTTTTTCAGTGTAACTCAACCATGTCCACTTCATTTCTCATGAGTTTTTGAGCAGCTGCCTGTATTAGTGTTTCCACAGTGTCTCTTGCACAGTAATACACTGCAGCGTCTTCAGTCTTCAGCTGATTCATGTGCAGATAGAAATTAGAGCTGTCCTTAGTTGCAGTGAACCTGCCCTGGACTGACTGAGCTGAGCTCTTATCAGAATCTGAATAATAATAAATAATCCATTCCAGTCCTTTTCCAGGTGCCTGGCGGATCCAATACATGTTAGTGCCACTAAGAGTGAATCCACTACATGCACAGGTCAGTTTGTGGGAACCTCCTGGAGCCACAACTACTGACTGTTCAGACTGTGTGAGCACAACCTGAGAGTCAATACCTGTGGATAAATAAAAAATGTACAAATAATTATGATAATGTATTTATTTACAATAAGAAAATAGTTTATTTTTGTTGTCCAGGGAATATACTTACCAGACACTGCGGCCAGCAACGGCAACAGATACAAAGTGAACATGATTTATATCAAGGCTGAACTAGTGATGAGTTCTCCAGTCAACAGTGCAGTTGTTTAAATATGAAACAGACATCAGATAATTTGCATAGAAACCCAGAATTAGCAAAAACAAGATCTTGTGGCAATTGGGGTTCATTTCATGAACAATAGTGCCACATCTTGATATGGATATAACAATGTCCTTCTGCAGCATGAATAAATGTGATTATTTTCAAAGTAGGCATGAACATCCAACCTCATCTCAGTTCTATTAAAAACAGATGTGATGTTGTCATATGTTTATGTGAAAGTGAATTAAGGACATTAGCGAAGTTGTAGAGTTCAGTGTAGTTGAATGTATACAATCAGATCAGCCCTTTTCTGCCATTGAGCCATTGTTCTCAAGTCTTGCATAGCAAAAAATAGTGGATCAGACACCTATGAGATCAAAGGCGATATTGCGTGATTCACACTCATGTGCTTTGTTGTTAATAATACATTGGATATTATTTAAATTCTGTTGCTTTTATGTGAAAATAAATAAAACAAGACACCCAAAAGTACTACCTTGACAGCAACAGATTGAAAAAACATGCAGTTCAACATTAACATTTAAAACAGTACACAGCCCTTCTTACATTCTGTGAGAGCAAACACAAAGATAAAACACAGTTTAGACACAATATCCATTACCATTTTATGGAATAAGTAACCTGATGCAGGAAAGTCACAAATGAGTAGATGAATAGTCTGTTAATGAATACAGTGGGTGCTTAAAAGGGAGAAGGACAAGTTTGCATAGGCTGCCCTCTAAAGGTATGTTTCTATTTTCTGTGTCCTTAATAACCTCTGTAACCATGTTTGCCTTTGGTAACACTTTATATTACGACCTGCAAACAACTGCGTAAGTAAACCGAAATTACGGTGTACGTTTCTGTAATTATAGTGTACTTCCGTGTAGGTATAAGGGAACAATATGTTGAGTTTTGGGTAATAAAGGGGTAACAAGCAGATATACAACCTCCAAAGAACTTAGTAGGTAAACCGAAATTACGGTGTAGTTTCTGTAATTATAGTGTACCTCCGTGTAGGTATAAGGGAACAATATGTTAAGTTTTGGGTAATAAAGGGGTACAATCAGATATACAAGCAAATTATTTATAATGTAATTATTTTAAAACCAACAGGTACCTATTCTGTTAATATATTCCAGGCAAAAATTGTACATCTGTTGTATATAAAAGTTATCACATTTCTGGCAAAATATGCTCTTGTGCAATGTAGTTACAGGGTAATTTTGACATCTGTGGGTTGTGAATTAAACAGTATATATAGAGACTAAGAGCGGTTCAAAAACCCCTTATGATGCACAATAAAACAAGGACTGTGACGTCGCCCGGTATGGCGCAGCCGGGGCCCCACCCTGGAGCCAGGCCCGGGGTTGGGGCTCGTATGCGAGCGCCTGGTGGCCGGGCCTCTCCCCACGGGGTCCGGCCGGGCTCAGCCCGAAGGAGCGACGTGGGACCGCCTTCCCGTGGGCTCACCACCTGCAGGAAGAGCCGTAAGGGGCCGGTGCAGAGAGGATCGGGGGGCAGTCGAAGGCGGGGGCCTCGACGACCCAATCCCTGGACACGGAAACTAGCCTTAGGGACGTGGAACATCACCTCGCTGGCGGGGAAGGAGCCTGAGATCGTGCGTGAGGTTGAGAGGTTCCGACTAGAGATAGTCGGGATCACCTCTACGCATGGCTTGGGCTCTGGAACCACACTCCTTGAGAGAGGATGGACTCTTCACCACTCTGGAGTTGCCCATGGTGAGAGGCGACGGGCTGGTGTGGGTTTGCTTATAGCCCCCCAGCTCAGCCGCCATGTGCTGGAGTTTACCCCGGTGAACGAGAGGGTCGTTTCCCTGCGCCTACGGGTCGGGGATAGGTCTCTCACTGTCGTGTGTGCCTACGGGCCGAACGGCAGTGCAGAGAACCCGGCCTTCTTGGGGTCTCTGGGAGGAGTGCTGGAAAGTGCTCCGACTGGGGACTCCGTCGTTCTACTGGGGGACTTCAACGCTCACGTGGGCAGCGACAGTGACACCTGGAGGGGCGTGATTGGGAGGAACGGCCCCCCCGACCTGAACCCGAGCGGTGTTCAGTTATTGGACTTCTGTGCTAGTTACAGTTTGTCCATAACGAACACCATGTTCAAGCATAAGGGTGTCCATCAGTGCACGTGGCACCAGGACACCCTAGGTCGAAGGTCGATGATCGACTTTGTGGTCGTTTCATCTGACCTGCGGCCGTATGTCTTGGACACTCGGGTGAAGAGAGGGGCGGAGCTGTCAACTGATCACCACCTGGTGGTGAGTTGGATCCGATGGCGGGGGAGGAAGCTGGACAGACACGGCAGACCCAAGCGTACTGTAAGGGTTTGCTGGGAACGTTTGGCCGAATCTCCTGTCAGAGAGATCTTCAACTCCCACCTCCAGCAGAGCCACGACCGGATCCCGAGAGAGGCTGGAGATATTGAGTCTGAGGGGACCATGTTCTCCGCCTCCATTGTCGAAGCGGCGGCTCGGAGCTGTGGCCGTAAGGTCTCCGGTGCCTGTCGAGGCGGCAATCCCCGAACCCGGTGGTGGACACCGGAAGTAAAGGATGCCGTCAAGCTGAAGAAGGAGTCCTATCGGGCCTGGTTGGCTTGTGGGACTCCTGAGGCAGCTGACAGGTACCGGCAGGCCAAGCGGACTGCAGCCCGGGTGGTTGTGGAGGCAAAAACTCGGGCCTGGGAGGAGTTCGGTGAGGCCATGGAGAAGGACTATCGGCTGGCCTCGAAGAGATTCTGGCAAACTGTCCGGCGCCTCAGGAGAGGGAAACAGTGCCCTACCAACGCTGTTTACAGTGGAGGTGGGCAGCTGTTGACCTCAACTGGGGATGTCGTCGGACGGTGGAAGGAATACTTCGAGGATCTCCTCAATCCCGCCGTCACATCTTCTATTGAGGAAACAGAGGCAGGGGGCTCAGAGGTGGACTCGTCCATCACCCTAGCTGAGGTCACCGAGGTAGTCAAGAAACTCCTCGGTGGCAAGGCACCGGGGGTGGATGAGATCCGCCCTGAGTACCTCAAGTCTCTGGATGTTATGGGGCTGTCTTGGCTGACACGCCTCTGCAGCATCGCGTGGCGGTCGGGGACAGTGCCTCTGGGATGGCAGACCGGGGTGGTGGTCCCTCTTTTTAAGAAGGGGGACCGGAGGGTGTGTTCCAACTACAGGGGGATCACACTTCTCAGCCTCCCTGGGAAAGTCTATGTCAGGGTACTGGAGAGGAGAATACGGCCGATAGTGGAACCTCGGATTCAGGAGGAACAGTGCGGTTTTCGTCCAGGCCGTGGAACACTGGACCAGCTCTATACCCTCTACAGGGTGCTGGAGGGTTAATGGGAGTTTGCCCAACCAGTCCACATGTGCTTTGTGGATTTGGAGAAGGCATTCGACTGTGTCCCCCGAGGCGGCCTGTGGAGGGTGCTCCGGGAGTATGGGGTCCCGGGTCCTTTGCTAAGGGCTGTCCGGTCCCTGTATGACCGAAGCAGGAGCTTGGTTCGCATTGCCGGTAGTAAGTCAGACTTCTTCCCGGTGCATGTTGGACTCCGGCAGGGCTGCCCTATGTCGCCGGTTCTGTTCATAATTTTTATGGACAGAATTTCTAGGCGCAGCCAGGGGCCGGAGGGTGTCAGGTTTGGGGACCACGCGATTTCGTCTCTGCTCTTTGCGGATGATGTTGTCGTGTTGGCCCCCTCACACCAGGACCTTCAGTGTGCACTGGGACGGTTTGCAGCCGAGTGTGAAGCGGCTGGGATGAGAATCAGCGCCTCCAAATCCGAGGCCATGGTCCTCAGTCGGAAAAGGGCGGCTTGCTCACTTCAGGTTGGTGGAGAGATCCTTCCTCAAGTGGAGGAGTTTAAGTATCTTGGGGTTTTGTTCACGAGTGAGGGAAGGATGGAACGGGAGATTGACAGACGGATCGGTGCAGCTTCTGCAGTAATGCGGTCGATGTACCGGTCTGTTGTGGTGAAGAAAGAGCTGAGCCGTAAGGCAAAGCTCTCGATTTACCGGTCAATCTACGTTCCTACTCTCACCTATGGTCATGAGCTTTGGGTCATGACCGAAAGGACAAGATCCCGGATACAGGCGGCCGAAATGAGCTTTCTCCGCAGGGTGGCTGGGCGATCCCTTAGAGATAGGGTGAGAAGCTCGGTCACTCGGGAGGAGCTCAGAGTAGAGCCGCTGCTCCTCCACATCGAGAGGGGTCAGCTGAGGTGGCTCGGGCATCTGTTTCGGATGCCTCCTGGACGCCTTCCCGGGGAGGTGTTCCGGGCACGTCCCACTGGGAGGAGACCCCGGGGAAGACCTAGGACACGCTGGAGAGACTATGTCTCCCGGCTGGCCTGGGAACGCCTCGGTGTCCCCCCAGAAGAGCTGGAGGAAGTGTCCAGGGAGAGGGAAGTCTGGGCATCTCTGCTTAGACTGCTGCCCCCGCGACCCGGCCCCGGATAAGCGGAAGAAGATGGATGGATGGATATATATATATATATATATATATATATATATATATGTACGACGCTGCCAGATAACTGGTTACCAGATAACACGTGATCAGCGTCTTACGTCAACAGCGTCACCGCGGACTCGTGAAGAGAGAATGACAACAGAACCGGAAGAGAATACAATGATGAATAAAGTCATAGTTTTTGTTATTTTTGGACCAAAATGTATTTTCGATGCTTCAAAAAATTCTAACTAACCCACTGATGTCACATGGACTACTTTGATGATGTTTTTATTTCGTTTCTGGACAAGGACAGTATACCGTACACACATTTTCAATGGAGGGGCAGAGAGCTCTCGCACAAAATCTCAAATATCTTAAACTGTGTTCCGAAGATGAACGGAGGTCTTACGGGCTTGGAACGACATGAGGGTGAGTCATTAATGACATAATTTTCATTTTTGGGTGAACTAACCCTTTAACATATTGTTCTCTTATACCTACACGGAAGTACACTACAGAAACGTACACCGTAATTTCGA